GGCTAGGAACTATTATTCGTGGTCACTGAATAGAACTGTAARATGGAGTATTGTGTCCGCCTGTACCCGAAGAAAGAGCCAAAAAAATGGAGTTTGTTCGAGTCGGTTTTCAAAACTAAAACGAAGCTTGATAGCTTGTGGCAACAGCTRGATCTCATTTAATGGCAAAAATGTATTGGTTAACTATTAATTCTTGCCCCTGTGAAGACATTTCYTGTTCGAAGTCGTATTTACATGCACCAATGGATAGAAAGTGCAACACGACGATAGCCAAGTGGCCATGGCCTCGTGAACCTCTTGCTTTCCCAACTATTCTACAGAGAAAAGCTTAGAATTATGAAAGACCTATAAATTAGTTGTATTTGAGTGAAATGAGGAATAAAGCAGTTGGATACATCAGGTAAGTTGGTAGTAAATTTTATTCAAACATTTACAGATAAATATGACATTTAAATATGTAGATATCTCACAGTCTACAACAGAGCTTGGGACGCTGCCCGTGCATAAATGAATGGAAAATGACAAACGATCATAATAGCTATTTATTTTGAATACTTCAGTCCAAACATATGCAAAAATATTTGTAATAGTTAAATAGGAGATTGAATACCTTGGTTTCCTGGTTTTTTTTGTTTTTTGTTTTTTCAACTTTGTTATTATTTCCAATGCCTTGGATTTGGTCATTGCGAGGGAAGCAATTTCAATCATTTTTTGTACACCTGTTTCAGAAAACGTCGTTGATCGGAGATCTGAGAAGGGCGAACCGAGACTTAATGGAATTTTTTTGTGCTTTTATGTTTTCTGACTAAAATAAGAAAAATCTCGTTTCTAACTCAAAGTCGTATTTACAGAAAAAGATGGATCTTATACGTGGAGCAGATCGAGAGCCCAGGGAACCGAATTATGAAAACCTCTAATTATAACTGTAGTTCTAGTTTGAGTGAAAAGAGTAAGAGGAATACAGTAGCGGCATACGCCAGGTACGTTGGTTATCAATTTTATTCAAACATTTACAGATAATATATAACATTCAAATATGCATATGGTAGAGTATTGCTGGCTTTCACACTCAGCTGATAAAAGTTGTTGAATCTCATTATCTGATCCAAATGGTGGTCAAATACTGCCCACCATGTGCCGTCAGCCAGAAAGAATGATATTGAAAACTTGCGATTCAGCTGATGAACATTGCGCACAAAACAGGAAATGAAATGAAGTGAAGTGATCAGCAATTGTTTCTGAATTTATCACAGTCTATGATAGAGACTGGGCACAGCGCAAATAAGCCCTGATTGCTTGGCAACGCTGTGCCACGATATGCAGTATATTTGTTATCTACTGTCCTTTTAACTTTTCCCTTAAATTGCAAATTCTTTGCATCACCTTGCTTACTAAATATTTAACGACTAAATATCTTAGAGTTCTTTTATCTATTAATGTATTTGCTATTTGTTTATTTATTAAAAAGTACATACCTTATATCGATCCGTTAAAAACTTTGCAAGAAATTGCACAAACTTGCACAAATTAGTAAGTTCAGTAGACTAGAAAACTTCGCGCTATTTCGTACAATTTTCTTAGAAAATCTTTTCACGGATATATAAGGTATGCACTCTATATATTTGTTTATTTAGTTAGCTAGATAGATAGTTTTAGTGAGCAGAAAGGATACGCAGAGTAAAGGCTATGCAATTCTTTTATACGATGCTTCATTAATATGCAGTGTTTACGCCGCGAACTCGTATTAACTAGCGGACGATGCCAACTTATCATTCAAATCAATCCTTTTTTGGTATACTTGAGGAGCACTATTATTGGAAGCTTTTGATAGTTGAGTGGTTCAGCAGATGAAGGATTGGTCTGGTTTAATTGAACATCAGAGACATTTTGCGTCGATGGAGAGAGACCTTGATAAATAGACGATTTCAAAGTAGTGGATGGATCTAGATCAGCATATTGTGGCTCATTTTCAGTCATTTGTAACCTTGGTGTTGTTATATTTATGTTACCGGTTTCGTCGGCAGATGGCTCATGATTTGGATTTTGCGACACTGTTTGTTGTCCATGTCCTTCGGAAATGGCAGAACGAGATGGTGTATCTTGCATTGGAAAAGACTCCTGAAAAAAAGGAATATAATACAAAGGGACTATCCTTCAGTATCTTTAGACATAATGTCAAGATACAAATGCTATAATATCATGATCAACGGCCACGAGAAATATTGCGCAATCATGGGTAGTTTTTAATAACTGTTCGAAATAGTGAGAAAAACAGAATTCGTAGTTATACTAACCTCGTCAGTTGAGGGCCTAGTGTGCGGAGGACTTCTTGCAATTTGGCTATAAAAGTAGTATTAAATATAAGTTTGTCAGGTTTTAAAATGTGTTTTTTTGGTCGCTCAGGGTTCGTTTACAGTTAAAAGATAAGTGAAAAGTCGAAAGATAAGTGCATGGGACGTATAACAAGATGTGTACATCTGCATGACCCACAGGTGTCCACCTTCAGTGTGTAAGCTCAGTATGTATGACTAATATTTCTTGATGGGTTTCCTGTGTTGTTTTTTCTCGATGATTTCCTGTGGTTTGAAATGTACTGCCGCAATTTTACTGTTACTAAATGTTACTAAATGAGTGCATTTCTACACTAATCCGATATCCGGTTACAGGTTGATTGTGGCAGTTGAGTTTTCATTTTACGCCACATGGAATCCGCCCCGCTCGTTCTTACATAACGCTCACTCACTGGAAGCGGGTCCCTTGTGCATTGTCCTCTATGAAGGAACTAAATAAATTAATCCATTTAAGGAAATATAAATATAGAAGTCAGGGGCTGACAATTTTGTGAACCAAAGCATTAAGCTTGACAACTTTTGCCCTGATTTTTGAATCTACAAAACTTGAACTCACCGTTGGATACGTCTAAAGCAGTATATGACACAAGCCACAATGAAAACAATTATTAGGAATAGGATGCCAACTAAAATAGACAACAAGGTTTCAGTATTGAACTTTTCAGTTGGAGGAGCGGAAGACGTAAGACTCTGAAAAAAAGTTATAAGTAATGAATATTTACCAAACACCAACAAAGTTCAATATAGCAAAGGGACAAAACCTATTGTTAAAATGGTTTGCGCATTATGATGACAATGGCAATGTTTGTAAACATCACGTCCACTATACAGTTCTTCGAAATGGTGGCCAAAATGCTAGCCGCTTGATGATCTTTAAACTCAAAAAATTAAATAAGGTCAACGAATTTCATCATGGTAAAATTCTGATTTCAAAATAATCCGGCTTACTGGTTTTACTTATTACGTTTTAAATGAGAAAACCAGACTTCTAAAGTACAAAACCTGCTCAGAGCTAACGCCTCATGCTCTTTAGCTTGCTTCTCTCGTGCTCTAGCTACAGCTCCCAGCGTGTTTATTGTATTAACAGTACAGAGACATGCGCGTGCGTTTTATACCCCTTAAATATATACCTTATTTCCTTTGATTTTCCATTCTTTGAAACATGCCTTGTTACTATCATCATCATCATATTATTATTATTATTTTTATCCTTATCATTATTTTTTATAAAGAAAAGTTAACCATACGACACGATTTACGTGAGGTGTTAACGTTAGAAGAAGAAAAAAAACAAAACAAACCTTTATCTCTTTGATTTTCCATTCATTGAAAAATGCCTTATTACTTGACAGCTTCTGATAGTTCTCATCTATTCTCCTGTTAGTAATAGAAAACCAATATCTTTTTTTTAAAGTCTAAATACCTCTTAGATGTTATACAAAAATTAAAAGTTGAATGCAATAGGATAAATGGGAGCCACTAAGAGAAAGATTTGCAAAGCAACTATGGATTACCTCATTACTTCATCCCTGTCGACAATCTTCTTAGTATTTGGGTCCACTGCATGGAAATAAACAGCAGTCCTAAAGAAAAAAACAAACAAACAAACAAACAAATGACACCAACTGTTACTATAATAATAGATGTCATTCACTGTTATCTGGTATGGTAAAAGGTCGTTACTGTACCAAGATAACAGTGGTTAGGTAGGACAGGCATCCACTGTTATCTGGTATGGTAAAAGGTCGTCGACTTACCAAGATAACAGTGAATGGGTAGGAATGGCATCCACTGTTATGGATGGCATCCACTGTTATCTGGTATGGTAAAAGGTCGTCGCCTTACCAAGATAACAGTGGATGGGTAGGAATGGCATCCACTGTTATGGATGGCATACACTGTTATCTGGTATGGTAAAAGGTCGTTCCTTTACCAAATATGGAGTCAGTGGGTCAGGAATGGAATCATTTCTTGTCAGACTGTTGTCTATTATACTCGAACTCTACACACGCTCAAGGACAGGCACACAAACACAGTAAATATGGTATAAGAATATACTTACCTGCTGAAGTCGTATTTTCCATCTTCCTTATAGAAGTTAATATCATCAATGTTGATAATTAACCCAGTAATGTTTTGAAGCACCCTTAAAAACATCAAGTACATTTCAGTGCTCTTACTCTCAGCTGAACTAGAAATTCATGTGCCTCAAGACAAATGAACAGTTAAAAATCGCCTATTGTGCTATTCGGATTAATTTTTTTAATTATTATTATTATTTTTTAAATTGGATGAGTGAGTACTAGTGGTTGCCATTACTGCGATTCCCAGTCACATGCTAGCAACTAGCATTAGACTTTCATCACAAACCGGAAAAAAAAAAGAGTTTTGGTGGATGCCAATCAAAAGGGTTTCCATCGGTTTATACAGCGGGATTGCCCTCTCTCCCTAAATTAGTATTTCCTTAAGATTTCATGACGCTATACCTCTTCGAGAATTTCTCCAAATAATCCAAGTTCTAAAAATCAATGTTTTATTTTCATTTTTTTTCCCTTTACCTTACAAATTCATCTTTATTGTTTCTGACCTCGTAAGGACTTCTACCAGAAATGAGAATAGCGCGTTCATAGTCGACGACTACGTAGATCTATTGAAGGAAGGGCAAGGACTGGCGTTAGTTATCATCATGATCATTGTCATCATTATTATAATCATGACAATGTTTATCTTCATCATCATCATCGCCGCCAATACCACCATTACTATAATCATCACGAAGATCTTCACCGCCATATTCAACAGCTTAATCTTAACTAGAATGTTGTTGTGCGTGAGGTCCATGATTACTATATATAAAATCTGTTTCTACCACGTTTTTTAGCTTAATCTTATTCTGACATTATGCTACTTTTCTAGCATATTCACACACTTATCCTCTTGATATTCGTTCTTGCATAGTCTTGAAAATACTTAAAATATTAGATTCTTTACAAATGGTCTTAATAATACTTGATTGTCTCATATTCAGCCATCTTTGGAGTTGTCGTGTAATGCTTGACTCAGCGTTGCTTAACGCAGGTCATAATCAAAAAAGGTGCGCATGCATTTTGTTTGTTTCCCAAATTCATTCTAAAGGCTAAATACTTCACCTTAACAGTAGCGGTGTCGTAATGATATGGATCTATCCCCAAGTTATCCTTAGATGTAACGTTAAGTACGTATTCTTTGCCGCGTTGACCAGCAAACGAATCTGCAGCCTTAATCCATCCAGTCTCATTATCGATGGTRAACTTCTTTGAGTCTTCAGTTGTTGTCGAGAAGTCATAGCTAATGCGACCACCGTTGCCAACATCTGCATCGTTAGCCTTCAGCAATAAGAAACATACTCAAGTGTCAGGAAAAATATTTGGTATCGTTGATTGCTTTTTTTATCACACTTTATGGTTGGACTTTTTGCAACTTCAGTTATCAAGTAAAAAGAATTAAATTTAATATTCATTTCTGTTCTTGGCTTGACAGTTTTTTTTTCAGGAGTAAATTCTAATATTTATTATATATTATATACGTCTATTTCCAATGCCTTAAAAGTTGCAAAGGGATATCTCACTGAAAACTATTCAATGCCGGATTTATTCAGCTACAAATTAATGCAATACGTACATGATTAAACACCGATGATACTTTATTGTAGAAGTATCCAGTAGACAAAGAGGAAAAGGGATTTTTGTAATTTAGAAGGATTTACTATTAACTTATGACATTCACAGTTATTTCTATTGCCAGAATTGTTTTGAGCCAACTTACAATTACACGAATGACATTATCTCCGTGAGATATGTCTTCAGGAACTCCTATGGTAAAAAAGAAAGATAATTATCAAAAATTAGCATTGTAAGTGGAGAGTTGCAGTTATAGAATAATGAATATTGCTCTTTGTGTAAGGGTTCATATTTGCTATGAACAAGCGTGAGCATCATTTAATCGTGATAATTTACACATTTCTTTCGTTTGTTGATGCATAAAATGTCAACTTGTTGCCCCATAATGCCGATGCATTTCTACAACTGCGGGTATGCTGCTAATGCCATAGAACACTAACTAAAGCGTGCTCATCATTCAAATCAATGCATGTTACTTTATAAATGTGTTAGTAAAAGCTTGTTTGTTTTACCTCCTGAATAATCTTTTTTGGTGAATATTGGCCCGTTATCGTTTTCATCAGCAATTTCCACCACAACGCGCTGGATTGTTGGATCATCTGAAAGGTACAAGGGAAAGTGAGAACCAAGCTTCTTTTTCAAAAAAAGGTTAGTGAAAGTAAGAATGTTTACAATATTGTCTGCGTATCCTGCTTGCAAAGGTCTTTTTCTGTCCTCAGCATAATCTCTGTTTACAGAGTAGTGTCTGGGAGGATATTAGAAAAAATTCTTCACCATGTCACAGCCGCAATGTGGGATGACTAACACGAAAAGGCTGCTTCTAATATATCGTTGATGTCAAGTCATTTATATTATTATGTCATTCTCAAAAATATTCGTACAATGATATAAATACGTATATATTTGATAATGACATACTTGGTAAGGGAGAATAAGTTGGGTTTGTTTCACTGGCGCTTCTTCTCTTCCTTGCACTCAGTAAAGATGAGGAATCAAGCTAAAAAAAACCACGATATACAAAACTTGTTTATTGCTACCATTCAAGGTATTTAACTCTTACATAGTGATATATCATCAGCTTAGAATGCAGGTAAAAGGGGATTAACGTTCAATTGTGAAACGATTCGTACCAATATGAATTTTTTCTAGGGCATGCTCCTGGCTTCTACAGTTACATAGTACGCGGATTCTGATGATTTGCTTGAATGTGGGTTTTGTATTTTGTACAGGTTTGACGCGGACGCTAGTTGAGTCTCATAGATTAAGCTCAATTTTTTTCATTAAGTACTATTTTTGTCATACCAACCTTGTAGTTTGATGCCTTAACGAGCATGCTGAAGAATGGTGTCTCCTCGCGATCCTGTTATAAATAAAACAGGTATCACTGTCAGTTTTATTTCAGTGCTTTAGAAAAGTGTTGATTGGCTTGCTACCGTATTTATATTCGAGGGCAGCTTCACGTTCGCACAAAATCGTTCAAATATTTAAAATCATTAAAAGCAATATAAAACGGCTGCTTTATTGTGATCCTAAGTGTTCCTCCGCGTAAGCGTGCTTCTCTCGTGCTCTACAGTTCCCATCGTGTTATATCACAGTACGAATATAAGGAATATAAAATACATTCGCTTGATTTTACAGAAACCGGCGATATGCTGCGGCTCTGTGAGTATTCAAGTTATTTAATTCTATGAAACATTTTACGTATTATCACTTACTATGGTTTTCTTAGTTGTTACGATTCCATTTGTTTCGTTAACATCAAAGACATCCCTACCGCTACTCCCTGTTCAGATGTGAATAGTTCAACATCARTAAACAGATTSCGGTGATTGCTTTTGCTTGACTTTCTTTCAGACATTTTAGTAATTGATCTACAAGACACTTACCAATAATATAGTAGTAAACACGGTCAGATTTATCTGAGTCACCGGCCTCAATTTCACCAACAGTGGTACCAACGGGAAGATTCTCACCCACAGATAAAGTGGCACTAGACTAGAATTGTGATTTAAAAAAAAAACAATAAATAAACGAACTATTTTATCAATATTTTTTAGGTTTATCTATTTTCTTTATTACAGGGGTCATTTATTTTGATCCTTGTAATACAATAACATTATGGCAGAGACGTTTCCCATCTTATGGATAACTTGTTTTAAGCCTGTGTTGCTCTGCGGTGTGTCGAGAAGAAGAGAGCCGAGGGCAATGGTAGGCCAACAGCACAGACCGCTGAGCAATACAGGCTATCTTGATCATAAATAGATTTACCTTTGAGAATAGCGGCTGGTTGTCATTAAGGTCTGTCACGAACACAGTGATATCTTTTTCCTTGGTTAACTTTAAGTTACTCTTCACATTCTTTGCTTGTATTACGAGCTGTCAAGAAATAAATATCAGCA